GTGTGTGTGTGTGTGTGTGTGTGTGTGTGTGTGTGTGTGTGTGTATTCTAAGGTTGTGGCCCTTAGATTTGTTTTTCCTTTCCCCGTAGATAGTTGGGAAGCTATCAGAGCAGAACAAAACCTTGGTCTCTGAAGAGTTGAGTAGGCTGATGGATGGGCTGATTGAAGACAAAAAGGTAAAAAATGGATGGTGGATTTTGAATTTTGACCCTTCAATACTTTTCAGGTTTCCTTTGGACTTTTTCTTTGGGCGATGTAGTTTCTTGGTTTCTCATCTTCTGTTTGTGCGGTCCTTAGTGCTCCCTGAGTTGTTTTCTTGCAGTCATTTCATAACCCAGCTAGGTAACATCATCAGGGTGGAAAAGGAGGAGGAGGAGGAGGAGAAGGAGGAGGAGGAGGAGGAGGAGGAGGAGGAGGAGGAGGAAGACTATAGGATTCTTGGAGCTGAGTTTGGTGGTTTACTTGAAAATGTTTCATAACTCAACTAGGGCTAAACCGGAGGGGGTTGAAGAGAGGAGGAGGAGGAGGACTGTGGGGTCCTTAGTGCTCCCTGAGTTTGGCTGTTTTCTTGCAGACGTTTCATTACCCAACTAGCTAACATCATCAGTACTAGAAAGGAGTGGGACAGAGAGCAAAGATACAAAGCAAGACTATTTTAGCCTTGGCGTTCTCTTCTTTTAGAAAAAGATATACAAGAAAACTTTCTCCTTGCCCAGAGCTTGTAAGAACCTCGGAGCTGGGGGTTGTCAGCACAGATCAAATTGTGGTGAGAAGAAATTTGGTATGGCATTCCCTGAAAATCTGATCCATTTTCTCTTCCTTTCAGCCGGCGTCTTCTGAAGTTCTCCAGACAGGTCAGTCTTCAAACCCTTCCTTCCTTCCCGGTTACAAAATGTACGTCTGGTGTTCCCAAGCCAAATTAAAGCCAGTGTTTTTCTCCAAAGGAATGCAACTACAGATTGCAACCATCCGTTTAGAGCAAGGGTCTTCCAACTTGGGAAGTTTAAGGCTTGTGGACTTTCAACTCCCAGAATTGCTGAGCTAACATGACTGGAGGAGGAATTCTGGGAGTTGATGTCCACAAGTCTTAAAGCTGCCAAGTTTGAAGACCCCTAGTTTAGAAACTGATTAAAAGTTACAAAGACCCTGTTTTAATAGGGCCTAGGGCAACCTGACGAGCATCCTTCATGGGTCACAGTTTTCCACCTCCGTGGAGAGGTGTGCCAGCTCCCGCCCACGAAGCTGTGGATTCTTCTACAAAGCAGTCATTAATTGTATTCTTTGTTCCATTCCTGAACAGTAAGCCTCTTTATCGAAGAAAGCTCCTTGGGACACCAGTACTGGAAAAAGAATTTGATGAAGCTCTTGAGAACCATTGCGGCTACTTTTGATCTCCTCCTACAAGATTCAAACTCCAGTCAGGTGGAGTGGCATTATATCACAATAAAGGTAAAGAAGGCGAGGCATTATCACCTGGATTGAAAGTTTCTCTTTTTTTTTTAAAGGGTCCGTGGTTGCCATTTGACCCCATCTGAAGTTCAAGTTTGAAGGGGAAGATAGACATTTAAATTTAGAACACAGAACATAAAGTAATACGGTTGGAAGGGATCTTGGAGGTCTTCTAGTCTAACCCACTGCTCAAGCAGGAGACCCTATACCCGTCATGCCGAACCTATGACACGCGTGCCACAGGTGGCACACAGAGCCATTTGTGCCAGCACGCGAGCTGCAGGCAAACTTACCTCACTGGGCATGCGTGTGCCTCACAGCTGATTTTCGGCTGGTTTGAGGCCTTTTTCAGCCTCCCAGAGACTTGAGGAAGGCTTCTGCAGGCTTTGCAGGCCAAAAACTAGGCCTGTTTCATCACTTCCTGTTTTTTTCTGGAAATATCAGAAGTGACGAAACATGCCTAGTTTTCAGCCTGCAAAGCCTGCAGAAGCCTTCCTCAAGCCTCTGGGAGGCCGAAAAAGGCCTCAAACCAACTGAAAATCAGCTGCGAGGCTCAGTGCAGGTAAGAGGGAGGATTGCGTGCATGTGCATAGGGGGCGTGGGGGTGTGTGCACATTGCCTTCTGGGTGCTGGCACACAAGCACGCGCATGCAAGCGCGTGCACAATTTGTGGCACAGGAGCCCAAAAAGGTTAGCCACCACTACCCTATACCATTTCAGACAAATGTCTGTCCAAACGAAACAAAGTGTTTAAAAAGTTTGGATATTTATGTTGTTACTTAGCAAGCACATCTAAATTATTTTGGAGTAACCAAAATATGTTTGCAATCCCCAAGGCAAGTCAGAATTGTTTGGAAATGGGAGCGTTGACAAATTTGACACGCCCTATGTGTCTCATCTCCTCCTTGTCTCCTCCTTCAGGTTTGCTTGCATCTCTTCAAAGGGATGTCAGAGGAAATCCAGCCTCTTGTCTGGGAGGAAACGGATCACAGAGAACTGCTGCAAAAGATCTTGAGATCCCTGGTGCATACCATCATGGATCAGGTGAGGTTGTCTATCAGGTGCGAAAGACCAGGTCTACACATTAAGGACCAATTAAACGGATTGGTTGCTAAACAGCTTATGTGCAGGAATCTTCTTGACTAAGCATTGGGATGTGATAGGAGATAGATGGAATTCAAGGGAGGTTGGACTTTGTTTGTGGCTACTTAGGGATTCTAGGTTGATGCCAATTTTAACTCCACCCCAGATTCTGCCATTTTTTTCTCCCACAATATCCTGGGAAGAGAAATAGATTTTTTTTTTTAGTCCCATGTGACTAAAGTTCTCAAGGGTTCTTTTTTTTTTAATCTATCCTGAATCGTCCATTGTTCAGCATCTTCTCGGGTCATGAAAGAAGGTAGGTAGGTTTTGCGGTTCCATGAGAAAAAGGAAAACTTCTCTCGTTTTTTTTTTCCCGTTCTCCTATTTCTGGCTGGCATCATTTACGCCATGTTGAAATCAGGATCTGCAAGTTTTTAGGAGACCCCAATTTTGCAGAACATACAAATCAGAAGGGAGGAAATTTTATGGGGGATTTGCAAAATAATCCCCGTCTGAGAGCTATGGGCCGGGAGAAAGAAGGCTGTCACGAAACGATGAGAATCTGGAACTGCGTCATTTTGTCAGAAAACAACCCGCCATTAAAATAGAATCCTGGCTTAGGTTGACCTCTTGGCTATTGGTTTTAGACCGCCTGCAAAGATAACCGTCTCCTGGCTGGCACTACGGTGAGCATGATGGTGAATACAGCGCCAGAGTTTGAAGCAGGAGCACAAGCAATCTGGGCTTTTTACCTCCTCATGAATTCAAAAGCTCAAAGAACAGGTGAACCAAAAGGTATGCTCAGATTCTTGGCCAGCTCTGTTCCTTGCCTGTTCGTTTATTTGAGGAGGCATCGTTTGATTGCAAATATTGCAATGCTTATGCCTCTTTGAGAAATATCTTTGAGAAAACCCACAGATATTTTTTTTCTAACTATCTGTAAATCTCCTCCTCTCCCTTGTCCTTCTCTTCCTTCTCAACTCCTTCTCTTTTTCATCTCCTTCTCTTCCTCCTCCTCCTCCTCTCATCTTCTTCTCCTTATCTTTCTCCTCATCTTCTCTTCCTCCTCAGCTCCTTCTCCTTATCTTCTCCTTTTCTTCCTCCTCCTTCTCATTTTCTTCTCATTATCCTCTTCTCCTTCTCTTCCTCTTCATCTCATCTTTTTCTTCTCCTTCTTGTCCTTCTCTTCCTCATCTCATTTTCTTTTCATCTTCCTCCTCCTC